GATGTCTCCATCCGCAGAACCCTCTTCCTCCCCTCTCCCCTTATAGTACAGCAGGACAGGAGGACATGAGGCGGGCGACTGCTCCGGCTGGCCGGGCTCCAGAGGACACAGGAGGCAGGTCGAGCGCGCAGGAGGGGGTAGGCAATCCAATGTTCTTAAGACCCACGGCGTGGGCCACACCGGACTCAACATGTCGCCATTGAAATAACCGATCGAAGCCTTGCCCTTAACTTACCCTTCGTTTGTACTCTAAGCCGCGGAGCGGCAACAAAACTAAAACTTACCCTGGACTTCCAGTTTTTTAAAAAATGGTAATAAAAGCGCACATTTCCTTTCCAACGCTTTGAGCGCGTACTCGCGATAAATCCCAAGGCCCACGCCCACCACCACCCCTCCCCGTGCATGAGTCATCATCAATGAGCCGTTACTAATCCATCCATCCATCCCAGGGGCCCAAAAGTGGCTGCTCGCCCTTTCCTCGCCGGGCTCATGGCACTCATGGCGGCGGCGGGACGGGCAATCACGCGGGCGTGGCGTGGTGCGGCGGGGCGGGGCGGCACTGCCCGATGCAAAGCCAGCCGCATGTAACGCTCTGCTCTGCTCCATATCCCCGCCCTGCAGCAGCAGTAGTTTCGTGTGCGGCCGGCCGCGCAGAGCGCACACACACAGAGCTAAACAGCAGTACACCACAGCCGACCCGTCGCGTGCGGGGAAGGGGGGGCAAATAGGCTCGAGTTTCCGCGCATCGCCGCATTCAAACGTCGTGTCGCTATGCAGGGCACAACTATGCGGCGGCCGCCGCCGCCACCGCCGCCACGGCTGCAGCTTTGATTTGAGGAGGGAGCGCGGAGAAGGGGGAGGGGATCGGTGATATTGCGACACGAGCCCACACGGCCGAGCAGCCTCCCTACGCAATAACTTATCAACAAGAGCAGCCCAGCCCCAACGGCAGGGCACAGCCCGGCACAGCCCGGCACGGCCAGCCATAGCGGAATGGTATTCATGTTCGACCTGTTTCTCTATCAGTTTTCAATTTGCTTCCCGCCCAGAAGGGAATACGCGCGCAGAGCGGTGCAGAGCACGGCCCACACGCACACAACACAGCCTGCTCACGTGCGGGCCGGGGCTAAGTGAACCTGACTCACGATCAGGCGCTTTGACGTTAGTTGATTTTTCAAACAGAAACAGGAAAAAAATCATTGAAATTGAATTTATCAAATTCAAAATAAAGGGCAATATGACACTGAGTCTGGTTTTGCGATACTTTTAACACAAAACCATGAGATAACTGGTATTTTGCGATTCCCACGCTAAAATGCATGATAACCCCCCAAAATGTGATAAAAGTATCACATTATTGTGATAAAATCATAACAAAAATTATTTGATCACATTTTTTGGAGTTATCATGCCCATTAGCGTGGGAATCGCAAAACACCAGTTATCGCAAACATTAGTAAAAGTATCACAAAACGGATTTCAGTGGAGTAGTGATCGGCGGGGCTGATTCATTTCCCGCTTAGTCTATCAAGTGTACAAACACCAACAAGAAACTTTGCAAACGAGTGTGACATAGTTAGTGGTGCCGTCGTTTTCCAGTGGACGCACGCGCACACTGTCGTGTGAGGAAAGGCCTGAGCGGCGCGGCGGTGTCATCACGACGCTACTTGCAGGCCCCGCCCCGCCCCGCCGGACGACGCATGCTGAAGAGCAGCAGCAGCGACGCGTGTGGCCTGGCGTGGCGGGGCCGGGCGCCCGTCGGGTAGGCCAGCCCGCCAGGCAACCATGGCCTGCGGGCCGGCCTACCCCACGGCGTTTCCGTCTCTCTGAACTTGGGAAACCATTAACACTGACGATACGAAAGGTTTTCTAATTCACATACAGTCATCTCTGTATCGCCATTTTTCTAATGTACTGGCACCGAGGCTCACGATTCAGCCGAGAACTTTCCGCTATTCTGACACGCGAATTGCAAATAAGTTTGTCAATCATGAAGTCATCCTTGTACTACTAGAAACATGAGTGGACATGGCAATAACCATTGGGGCTTAGGGTGCACCACAGTGAGTGCAACGTGCGCAAGATGCAATTTCATCCAAGAAAAAAATCTTTGACCAAATGGGATTGTGTATTTTGCATATCTGGCGTAAGATGCGCTGCTCATCACAGATGAATCGATGAAGCTATGTGTACGAAATAAAATGTCCCACGTGATCTACACAGTGTGCGTGCCCTCTCTCTGTGGTCCCCCCGCCCCTAGACCACGCGGCGCCCCCCGCACGACTTCGCACTGGGTTGGCGGGGCGGGCGGGACCCCACCTGGGACCCACGTCGTTATGGTAATGACTGCGGGTGACACGACACACCGCTCCACATTGACGAAGTGAGCGACAGAGACGAACGACGCCATATTTTTCTCCTCCTTCTCCTATGAGCGCGGAGTCATAGGTGGCGGGTGGCGGGCGGCGCTGTTACCGCACACGACGGCGCAGCACTTGTTTCATACAAAAGGAATGCGGGCAAGCAGTCGCTTTGTCCCGACGTACGGCGTGCCGAGGTGGGGCGTGGCGGGGCGGGGCGTGGCGGGGCGCGGGGGTGCGGCGGCGGCCTGGGCGCAGGCAGCCCCCATAGTCCCTTTAATGCACGGGGAACCGGCAAAGAGCCTCCGCCACTGCTGCTCCGGCGGCACGCGCGCCCGCGGTGGTGGTGGTCCC